AATTAGTGGGGGTTAATATGAGCTGGGTATAATGAATAATAATAATCTTCACTAGTTTGAGGGAAAGAGACAAACGGGAAACGTCCGAAGAAAAAAATGACCGTCACCACCAGGACTCGAACCAGGGACCCTCGCTTGTAGCTAGCGATGCTCTACCACTGAGCTATGGTGTAGTCGTCATCCCAGCAGAGACTGTTCAACATTTTCTTCAGACTTCGTAACTCACACTTCCTGTGAATCCACACAGGCGGGTGGGACGCAGCCCTCACAATAATAATAATAATAATAATAATAATAAGAAAGGGTTTGCTCCCCACACCGGAGCTCGCGCTATTCCGCCGACTTTACTTGACACTTGACTGACTCACGACTGCCATCCAGAGCACACGAGAAGTCCATCGAACCTTCGACTCGGCAAACCTGCAAGAAAGCACCACTCCCTGCTCAATACACAGTGTTTCGGGGAATTCACCCCTCATCAGTTGAGCTTGAGTAGGCTGAGGAAGATTGTGCCTGAAGAGCACCACTTATATAGTGCTCTCCAGGCACAAACATCACCAGGGATACAAACTTACAGAGACGCTCCGCTTCCAGCGCGACAAACACCTCGTGAACACCAGATAGCAGCGTGAGTCAGTGTCGCTCCTGGACGGTGAGACAGACGTCGAGGACCCTCGGTCATTCGCAACGCTGTCACCTCCAAACCAACTAGTCGCAAGCCCGCGCTGGGCACAACAGTACGAAGTAGTGGTTGCGACTTCGGCGATAATTTGTAAGAAAGGGTTTGCTCCCCACACCGGAGCTCGCGCTATTCCGCCGACTTTACTTGACACTTGACTGACTCACGACTGCCATCCAGAGCACACGAGAAGTCCATCGAACCTTCGACTCGGCAAACCTGCAAGAAAGCACCACTCCCTGCTCAATACACAGTGTTTCGGGGAATTCACCCCTCATCAGTTGAGCTTGAGTAGGCTGAGGAAGATTGTGCCTGAAGAGCACCACTTATATAGTGCTCTCCAGGCACAAACATCACCAGGGATACAAACTTACAGAGACGCTCCGCTTCCAGCGCGACAAACACCTCGTGAACACCAGATAGCAGCGTGAGTCAGTGTCGCTCCTGGACGGTGAGAGCGGTGTGGGGAGCAAACCCTTTCTTACAAATTATCGCCGAAGTCGCAACCACTACTTCGTGATAATAATAATAATATTAATATGAAACTCGGATGTTGAGCCATAAATAAATGTGGAAAGGAAAAGGACATATGGATACGAGTTAAGAGTAACTCTCCATCACTGTAACTGGATACTATATACGGTCAGAAAGTGCAATAACTAGGCACAAAACTGGCAAGAGTACTGAGACATTCGACGTCCTGACACCTAGCTTCAACACATCTCCGTAGCGCTAACTACGCTGTCGGTTAGCGCTACGGAGATGTGTTGAAGCTAGGTGTCAGGACGTCGAATGTCTCAGTACTCTTGTCAGTTTTGTGCCTGGTGATTGCACTTTCTGACCGTATATAGTATCCAGTTACAGTGATGGAGAGTTACTCTTAACTCGTATCCATATGTCCTTTTCCTTTCCACATAATATTAATAGTCCAAGTTATTGATGTCAGTGTGCCACTGGATCATAGAGTAACACTAAAACATGCTGAAAAGAGAGCGAAATACTTGCCCCTCGCAGTGGAAATTGGGCAGATTTGGCAGCGAGAGGCAGTGTCCGTAGTGCCCATCATAGTTAGTGCTCTTGGTGGCCTGACGAAGGAAGCGGCTACCTCAATTAAGCAGCTATGTGGTGAAGAGCGGCACCTTCACGAACTGCAGCAGGCTGCTATCCTTGGCTCGATGGCCATTCTAAGATCTGTTTTGGGTGCAGCATAGGGCTCTTCGCTGTCCCTGGTGGGCTTCTTATGCTCTATATGTTATTGTATTCGTTTTAGTTTGTAATTGAAACACTGTGGTATATCTGTGGTTATTCGTATTTGATCTTTCTGTGTGAACGCATTGGAGGTTGTGCCCAGTGATGAGCTTTGCCGGCCTGAATTTTTCGCCAACTTCTGATGCTCCCCTTTCTGCAATACCTGTTGTCATGATACCTCTGGGCTTTAATGCCTGTGATGGCACATGCGCCTTTTTCCCTTCTTCTCTCTCTACCTTACTTTTTCCATATATTATTCCGTGCTGCTTACCTTTGGCTATGATAAGTCCGGTGAGTTAGTGTAATACCTCCAATTTTTATTTTTATTTTCAATTTGGAGTGGAATAAAGAATCATAATAATAATACACGGAACAAGAGATATTTAATCGAGGAACAGGTGTGTCAACGAAAACGAGTTGCAGGATGTGTGGCAGGGACAAGGAAACGGTTTTCCACCTTACTGGAGCGTGTACAGCTTGTGCGGGAAGTCACTATGTCAATCGCCACAACAGGTTAGCAAAATATCTCCACTGGACATTGTGCAGGAAGTATGGTGCATCGGGCATTTCGAATAAGTACACAAGTCACCAACTCACCAACGTCGTGTACAGTGCTGAAACGGATGTGTCAATCTACTGGGAAGTGCCAATTCCAACAGCAGTGCCCGTTGGAGCAAACAGACCCGACATTATTATCAAGGGCAAAGATGAAGCGTTCCTTGTGGACGTAAGTGCCCCTCTGGATAGGAACATCCGCCGAAAATCTGTGGAAAAGATACAGAAATATCAAGGCCTGAAGCGTGAGGTGGAGCAGATGTGGCAGGTGCAGGCCAAGATTGTGCCAGTGATTGTGGGGGCATTAGGTGGATTAACCCCCTCGACTGCTGACTTTGTGAGGGAACTGGATGCCGGAGCCAGTGTATCGATCTTGCAAAAGGAGGCGCTCCTTGGCACAGTTGACATCATCAGGTCAATAACTCAGATGAAATAATAATTACACTCCAATAAGTTACATTGGTTTGCGAATGCCCATGGTTCGAACTATTAGTTGAAGCACCCATTTGCAGAAAATAATTATGATCGTAATATTAATCACTTGCCAATAACAAAGACAACAATAATACCATCAGCCCCCATTCACCGATTTTGACGGTGCTTCACTGATGTTGAATGAGAAGAATTATATCGCTGCCTTCAGTGCTATTGTGTCGCTGAAGGGCTCGATTTCAGATTTGATGACGGTTACTTTTCAACGGATTTTGTTTTCTGATTTAGCTCTCTTGCTATTACTGTACCTGCTTGTGTTAAGTCTCTTTCTGGCAGATTAGTTCTATAATAGATTGTACATGCATCATTGTAGATTTGCTGTTCACAGTATTTCTCTCTTTTTTCTTTCTTTTTTCTCAGTCTCCCCTATTATATTTTCTTCACATACAACAGCAGTACTCCCCATGGTCTTAAATGACCCGGGATGCTGCATAATACAAACACAAAACCAATAAAGCCACCCCCATAATAATACATCGCGCGTAATAAGACATACCGGTAAGAATGAAAATTGTATGCCTGTTCCGCTTCTGTCTCACATTGAGTACCGCAGTAAATAGGGTATGTGTTACTGAAATAGTCCTTTCCATTTGATCTTATCCATTGCGAGACATCTGGACTGACGTAGGCTATTGGCGGACTTCATCATGACGCCAGCTTGGGCAGTGTCCTTGATGGATACTGTTGGCAGCATTGTCTTTGGCCTTCCACGCTGCGCGGTGGCATCATGAGGATTATTATCCTTATATTATTATAATATTATTATGTGAGGATCTACAATTTAGTACAAAAAGACAACACTTGCACTGGCAATAGCCGGATGCGATCCAGGATAATGACAGCGCTACAGGATATAGCCTAGGCATGGGACGTAGGAGTCGAGCCAAGATCAAGAGTACCTCGTACATGTACAAAACACAACCTCATGACTCATGACTCATGAATGACAAAGTCATGATCCTGCCATCATCCTGGCTAGTGCTACAGTGGTTGTAGGTTAGATTAGATTTTCACTCGTACTGGCACTGCATATACATGTACATGCATAGGCCTACCATGCGCCTACAGCCTATCTGTTCGATAGTGACGATACAGACACAGTAAACTAGCGACACCTGTGTCTAGTCTGTGAGTAATGAATGCACCTGCACCTGCAGTCGACTAGTCCTGCACTGACTCACTGAGTCTGTTCTGTGCACAGCACGCAGTGTTTTTGTACATACCGTATTATCTCTAATTATTATATTATAAGCACAGTCTCCAATAATAGAACACCTTGGGGCGGCATTCAAAAAATAAAGTGCTCAGTTTCCATTACATTGTATAAGAACACTGTGTAAATTCATTATCTGTACCGGCGAAAAAACCCTGAAATGTGTGTGTCTGACATGAATTTGGCATGGCAACAAGCCTCTGAAATGAGGTTGAAATAATAATGGAACAGTCTCCAATAAAGGAACGTCTCCAATAATAGCACGGGGCGGAGGTACATTGAAAAAATAAAGGACCGTGCTTATATTAGAGATAATACGGTAATAGAGAGGTTAAGATGCACGTTATTTCCGACGTGACGTGCAATTTCACGTCAAATTTGGCGTAAAACTCCAAATTTCGACGTGAGCAGCAGGTCACTCGCGTTGATTTTTCGACGTGTGACCAAATAACGCAAGCTGAACTTTCGCGTCACGTCAGAAATAACGTGCATCTTAACCTCTCTATTCATTGTAGGTTGTTTCAGAATCAAAATGTTTGTTTTCGTATCTACGCGATACGGTTTATGTGATGTGCACTCTTTTGAAGATGGTCAGCCTGACATGACATGTGTGCATTTCCTCAACCATTTATTAATTTTTATAGCCACACACCGCGTACCGGTAGTAGTAGTATCTGAAGCTGAGCGTCAGTGCATGCAGTGCAGTCGGCCTTCGCCAGGATTTGCACCGTGCCGCCACGTCTTGCGCAGAACCCTTCCCGGTCCCGGAGTTATCCATCGGCCGGAGCGCTGCTGAGCCAAGTACTAGCACATCGCAGAACTGTCGCCTCCTAGCCCTAGCTGAGCACTGTATTCTGAATACCAACAACCAGATAAGAATTTGAAGGCAGTGCCTCGATATCTCCGGGAGAAATGGGGGCAGACTACTCTCAACTCGATCATGAAACGGGACCAGGTAAGACTTACTAAGAGATCGTTAATGCGTCGCTTGTTCTGAACTGGCAACAACAATTCCAGATGAAACGCAAGAATTTGTAAGCGGCTAGCGCTATAGCTGTCCGTGATTTTATGGTTATTTTTACGAATGGGACCGGTCTCGCTAGCTCTTCCTTTCGCAGTAGGTACTGTCTACAGACATAGCCATAGATAGTACAGCAGGGTTCTAGCCTGGTAAAAATAGTAGAGGGGGGGGGGGGGGGGGGGGGGGACAGTTACCCCGTCACCCATTGTTCCGGTTTCTAAAAGTGTCTTGCCATGCCAAATGCAACGTTCTGTGGCAAACCCCGGAATTCAGCCCATACGAATGTGCCGTTGTCAACCCTCTACAAGTGACTTAGAGACTGCATGTTCGTTGAATGGCATGAAAAGACACAAACATCGACAAAGGACTCGGTAAGGGGGGGGGGGGGGGGTTGGGGGTGCTGCACCCCTACCCCCCCCCCCCCCCCCTGGTTAGAACCCTGGTACAGTGCTGGCCAAAGACATCCAACCTCGTGAATAAAATAGCACTGCCGGGCGCTGCACAACCCTAGCACTACACACACTGGTCTGTGAACTCAAACGCAACGTCGCTACTGTATTTATGACTCTATGAGGTTGGATTTCTTTGGCCAGCACTGTGTGATCTACTGGCCCTGTGCATGTGCTGGCCAGGGCCATAGTCTGTGCACGGCCTATTGCCAGTATTGGACGATGTAGCAGGCGGGGTCGCAGGCCGATCTGGCTCATGGCAAGCATGCCGCTTGGGTAATCCGGTAGAGTACTGCTGAGTGTGTTGTGTCGGGGCTACCGACCAGGGTAGCTGGGGTTACCAGCCTCCGTAGAGTAAGTCAGGGTCTGGGTACCCATGGCTGGCGGTCTGGGTATTGCATGCCGGGACCGGTGTGGCCCTAGCTGGCACCCCAGTTAGTCACTGGCTAAGTGACATGATCAGCGCCGCTGCACCGACCCAGCGGACAGTGTTGAATACTCTGCAGGTTGTGTGTGTATGTGTGTTTGTGTGTGTATGTGTGTTTGTGTGTGTTTGTGTGTGTGTGTGTGTGTGTGTGTGTGTGTGTGTGTGTGTGTGTGTGTGTATCATGTGTGCAGTTTCGCCATCGCGCACATCCACGTCCAGCGATGACTCTCAATTTGAAGTGTCTGGCACAATTCAAGACTGGATGGTTGTCACGTCCAAGAACACCCTGGACGTTGAGGATCGTGTGCTGCAGTTCAACCCGGCAACGAGTCGTGCAGTTTGCGCCGGTGAGCAGCGACAGTGCTCGTCCGACAATGCTGTGTTGATCGTTGTCATGGTGTTGCAATGCTCAATCAGCCATGTGGTGTAGGCCAGGCTAAAATTAGTGGCGGTCAATTCAGCAGCCTTGCGAGCTGTTGAATGGTGTTATCCCAGCACAAGTTGCTAACACTAACACACACACACACACACACACACACACACACACACACACACACACACACACACACACACACACACACACACACACACACACACACACACACACACACACACACACACACACACACACACACACACACACACACACACACACACACACACACACACACAAACACACACACACACGCATGCGCACACGCACGCACACACACACACACTAACACTAACACACAAACACACTCCCGTGTTTAAACTGTGCACAGGTGTGGGCTACTCTCTGAGTGACAAGGCGATGAAGAAGTTGGACCTGGGAAAGTCGGCCGAGAAAGATCCAGTGCGTCTGTCCTCAATATTGCGTGATCCTCTCGGCTTGCCGGCTAATCATGTGGAGTACTTGACGTCGAAATCGTCGGATAACCCAGCCACCATGTCTAACTTGGTTGCCTACATCTCCGACGCTGCTGAAAAGGTCAGTGACAAGAACCCAATACAACAATGTGTGTAAATAATACTCGAACCGAATTTCGCAGCAAAATGGGTCTTGCAGTGGTGACCTGTGCAGTGTGTGTGGTGCCGTCCGTATAATAATTGCCGTTGCGTTGTCTTTCTAGTAACTGTCTCACCCGAGGTATGTCAGTAGGTAGTGTGGCAAGGGATTGGTAGACGCCTCACAGGTGTCACATGACCAGGTGGGGAAGCCATATTGCATAGTTCCAACTCCAGTGAATCCCAACAGCAATGGGTCACATGACCTCGACCATATTAGTTCCCACTCCAGGCAATCCTTTCATCAACAGGTCACATGACCTCGACCATATTGGTTCCAACTCCAGTGAATCCGCCCTGCAACAATGGGTTATACGTCAGTCAGCCATGTCTGCTCCAACTCCAGTCCATCTTTGCCTGCATCAACTCTGGGTCACACATGTGTTCTTTTTTGTCTCTGACGGAAATGTATATTGGTGTGTGTGTGTTTTATCCAAAGTACGTTATACTGTAGTTTTTCACTGCATGCTGATCAGACCGTACGGCGAAGAATACCGTAGGGCGAAGAATGGTGATGTACAGTACAGTGCAGTGCAGTGCTCAATGAAATCCAATCAAGTGAGTGAATACCACGCCGGGCGCTGTGTAGCCCTAGACCAGTGCTGCCAACACTGGCATGTGTACTGGTGCCGGGCGCTGTGCAGCCCTACAATTATAGACCTGCCAGCACTGGGATGGTGTACTGGTGCAGGGCACAAACTGGATTCTTCTCCCGCTCGGATTTCATTGAGCAGCACAGTGTAACTTATGTAAAGCAATTTTACTGCCGGGATACACAGCCTGCCAGAAAGTCACTGACGTGACCCGGCAATGTCGTGTGTGTTGACATGCCTTGGCGATTTTTTTATGTGCATCATGTGATGTCATGTCTGTTCACGTGCATTGGCGATGTGTCTGTTCGCGTGCATCACAATCATGTGTGTCTAGGTCGGTGAAGACGGTCTGCTACTGGTGTCCTTCTCCGGTCACGGAGAGGTGCACACGAACCCGGACGGCTCTAAAAGCGGCGTGCTGATCCCGGCCGACAACCCCGGCTCAACCACCGTCAATGTCCTCACTGCCCGCCTTATCGAGCGGTCACTGAAGAAGTGCAAGGCAAGGTGAGTGCTGGACGAGTGTGATTACGAGGGCACTGGTTTTGGTGTTGGACGAGTGTGATTATGAGGGCACAAGTGTTGGTGTTGGACGAGTGTGATTACGAGGGCACTAGTGTTGGTGTTGGACGAGTGTGATTACGAGGGCACTGGTGTTAGTGTTGGTTTCAAATTTGCGAGTTGTACGTGCATGTATGTGGGCGTGTGCATGCGTGCACGTGTGTGTGTGTCTGTCTGTGTTCATGTCTGTGTATGTGATCACTGCATGGCATGTCGACACCCATTATTATCCCTCTTACTCTTTCTCTCTCCTTCTCCCCCTCTCTCTGTCCCTCTGTCCACCCCTGCAGGCACATTGTGATATTTCTAGACTGCTGTCACGCCGGACTGTTGGCAGCATCCCTCGCCGAGGACACTGTACAGTCCACGTCACAATCAGAGCTCTATGTACTGGCCGCCTGCTCCACGTCCGAAGTATCACTCGGCCACTCCGAGCTGGGTAGTGGCTTCTTCACATTCTTCACATCCGATTACCTACGTCGGCATGGCAACCACGGGCAGTTGCCGATCGGTGCGGCCATGAAGCATTGCCAGTCGTTGTGCCCAGCCATGGCCAAGCTGTGCGTGCGCTCGCAGAGGGAGAAGGCATCCAGGGCACCCGGCACGAAGTATATCATGCATCCATTGCTACGGGTAGGTGTGTGTGTACAAAGTACATACCGTAAAGTCGCGGATAAAAGCCGGGCTTATAAGCACATAAGCCGCTTTCTGCATCAGGCTTTAATGCAAACCAGGCTTGTATGCAAACCATGCTTATATGCACCACTGATATTTTTGCCAGGCTTGTATGCACAGGCTTCTACGCGCGACACGCGTAGATCTACCACTGACTACCGGTATGGCGGCAGTTTTACTATGCACCGTACATAGCGCGTGCACTCTTGACACACCCGATCCGCGCTTGCATAGAAGCCAGGCTTCTACACGCGACAGGCTTATAATTATGCATTTGACCTGTTTGATTTTCAGGCTTCTATCCGCGATGTGCTTGTATACAAACCCGGCTTTTATCCGCGACTTTACGGTATGTTGCGAAAGAAGGATCCACGAGCGGGATTCGAACCCAGCACCCCCTGTCTTTCCGGGACAGTGCCCTACCGATTAGGCTACCGGGGATCACACACACTCATGGGTCCTTCTTGCTACACATCATGCATCCGTTGCTATGAGTAGGCGTGTGTACACGGTGTTGTAGAACGTTGTTTTGTGTACGTCGTGTGTACATGGCGTTGGTGCATGTGCGTGTTGCTGTGGTGTGAAACGCAGTCTCCGTCTTGAGTTCGTCTTGTCTAGTTGTGTTTCCGTCGTCTTCTCATAACATACAGTCTTCCGAATGTTGTTATCTAGTCGTCCATTGTATAAGTGTGGAGATGGCGCGGGGCTGGGAGTAGGAGTGAAGAAATCCCCAGACAACAACAGTACATCATGCATCCATTGCTGCGGCTAGATGTGTATACCGTTACATGGAGAGAATACTAGGAGAGTTTACAAAAAAGTGAATTATGATATCCTCCATTAGTTCTATGTTGTTTGTTATTTCCTACTTCCTACACTATGTCTGCTCAGACTAAGCTCCCCAGTCTCAGTAGCCAGGATGCCGTAGAGGAGATGGCCCTGGACGTGCCAGATGCTGCACCTAGATACCTCCCTAATGATGAGCTCTCTACGAAGTTCCTGGGTCAGTTTGTCTCGAGCAGTGAGGGTGGTGACGTTGGTAAGAAGGTGTTTGACCGTGTTCCAGCAGCAGTCACCTGGCTGAATGAGACCGCGATGCCTTGCATACAGGTCAGTGATCTGTGTGCGGGCGTGTGTGTGTGTGTGTGTGTTTCTCTCTCTCTCTCTCTCTCTCTCTCTCTCTCTCTCTCTCAAACACACACACACTCTCTCTCTCTCTCTCTCTCTCTCTCTCTCTCACACACACACACACACACACACACACACACACACACACACACACACACACACACACACACACACACACACACACACTCTCTCTCTCTCTCTTATGCTTTTTGGAACCGTCTCTAATACTAAAACTCTATGTGTGTGTGTGTGTGTTTTCACTGTGTGCTTCACACCAGCTATTGTACTGTAACGGATACCTATCGCCTGGGTACGAGGAGCACCGGGAGGTGATGTGCTGTGTGGTGTGCCTACTCTCACGCAGTGTGGCCACCATCTACGTAGACTACGGCGAAGGAGAGCTCAGCGACCCAGACATGTTCCTGGCATTCTTCACCTACATCTACCACTCGTTTGTACAGGCCGTAGAAGACGAGTTGCCCAACAAGGATCTTCTGGACGAGGAGCGGGTAAGAGTTACCAGTATAGGGTTTATGCGAACGATTCCAAGGACGGATTTTCTAATGGGCGCTAAATACATGCATACAGCGGAAGTCAGCAGATTTTATAATGGCCGCTATGTATGCGGCGTGAGTCGCTAGTGCAAGACTTAGGGTGCGTTTACACGACAACGCTGGACCATTTTTGCGTTTTCGATCCCGCAAAGCTGTATGCGTTTTCGGGTGTTTACACGAGAACGCTCTGCGTGCACGGACATGCAGTCGACAAGTGCCGTACCGTTGAATTTTGGGCGCGCAAATACGCTCTCCTATCCGGGTCCCGTTTCTGCAGTAAATACCACTGCACCAATTATTTCTCTACTTTCGAACGGTGCAGTAGATGAGTGTGTAGGATGGCCAAGTGATCGCAGGTTTGGACTGCAAAGAGTGCACAGAGAACGGCTACAGCGATCATCCTTCTTTTGTGGGCCTCCAGTGAAGAACTCCAAATCCTGGGCAATGGCATGCGGGTTGCACCCAGAGAACAACGGAACGTACAGTCATGAAGGCACTACGCGAGGATGGAGTTAGTAAAGAACGCTGCACGAGGATGGCCTTGTGAGCGTGATGAAATTATTTCTAATAATCCACAACACAAAAAATACGTCTCTCAGCTCTTTCTAATTTCCCGCCATTGCCGTAGCCATGGCACAGAAACGATGAGGCTCCGTTTTTGCTGTTTACACGGTTGGAATCCGGAAAAAAATAGTTGCGTTTCCAGATTCTTACACCTTGGTGAGCGTTTTTACCCGGTATTTTGTTCCGTTTCGCGCTTGCGTTTCTTTCGTTTTCGTGTACTGTCGTGTAAACGGAAGGCCAAAACGCAAAAATATTCTTGCGTTTTCGCTTGCAGCGTTGTCGTGTAAACGCACCCTGAGTGCAGTGTTGTGCCACGACTACGCCACAGCATCTCAACTGATGATGTAATCGCATCTCAACAGATGATGTAATCGCATCTCAACAGATGATGTAATCGCATCTCAACAGATGATGTACTCGCATCTCAACAGATGGTGTAATCGCATCTCAACAGATAATGTAATCGCATCTCAACAGATGATGTAATCGCATAACCTCTATTGGGTTTGAAAGTGTTGACGTCAGAAGTAAACAAATAACGACGAATAACGACTTCTGAGTCGAATTAGATCCACTCTACTCGTAGTGAAGTACGGGGTGTGATGGGTAGCCCCTCCAGTCGCATGCAGACGTTATATTTGTTCTCTGTACCAGGAGTGGGTCCCTGACCGGCAATGCCCAGTCGAAACATAATGACAAATACAGTTTTCGCTGTCGGCGGACCCCATTTGGAGAGGGTGTCCGGAGTCGCACACTCCTGGGAGCCTATCTACTCTTGATCACGGTTAGGCAGCCTGCATGAGGATCTTAGACACCTGTAATGTGGATTGCTCTGTGCCATGTTGTCTGGTATGAAACACATGCATGACCGTGCGGTGTCCGTGCATGCATGCTTGTCTGTGTGTATGCAGCCCAAGATTCTCAATCAGCACGCCATCCTCGGCGCGCGCCACTACGTGGCCGGTCTGGCCAAGGCACTGGACAGCGGCCCGGTTGAGCTGAGGCCCTACGTGAAACTCCTTCTGGATATGAAGTCGGGGCTGAGTAAGGACGTCGACGAAGACAGCAAGCCAACCACAGCACGCCGGCACCCGCCGTCGTCACAGCAACAGCATGAGGAAGCAAGTGGCAATGCCAACACTGCGGCGGTAGTGTCCTCCGGGGACTGTGTCGATGGTCAGGCGAGTGTAGCGCGGGCGGCCGGCGCTGGACAGGAGCATCACCTTACCGTAAGTGTAGTGTAACCGTAACGTTATGACTGTGTGGATTTTAGTGATAGCTGCAGTGCAGTGTGTGTCGCCGTAGTGGGAGACCGGGTACAGTATTATCGTACCAGAATAGCCACGTTATACAACAGATCTTGCTTCTCTCTCTCTCTCTCTCTCTCTCTCTCTCTCTCTCTCTCTCTTTCTCTCTCTCCTCTCTCTCTCTCTCCTCTCTCTCTCTCTCTCTCTCTCTCTCTCTCTCTCTCTCTCTCTCTCTCTCTCTCCCTCCCCCCCCCCCCCCCCGTCCGAGGCCTACCACTTCACATCGAGAATTCAATTAATTGCTGTGCTAATTGGTGCCTTCTATCTTCTTTTCTTCCTGTGTTCAGGAAAGCAGAGAGGAGGTTGAGCGTATCTTACAGCGTCTTGAACTGGTTGCTGATATGAGAGTGGACAGGAGTGGAATGAACATTGCATGAGGGACACGTCTGCCGTGCTTGCTGCAATACAGCTGAGTCTACATGTACCTGAGGCTGTGATGAACACGATTGCTACGTGGGTACGGCAGCTGGTGTATGGATAGACGGACAATATTATGTGTGTGTATTTGTCTGTTGTGTGTGTGTGTGCACGCGTGCGTGTGGGTGTGTGGTTGTGTGTGTTTCTGCATACACACGTGTCAGGGCAAGAGGCAGAGAGAAGAAGGGGGGGGCTTAGATTAAATGTTGTTTGGAAAATACGTGTGCATGTATACTCCATGTGCAGACTGGTAAAAGCGTTAATTATCTGCTGCTGCAAGAAACATGTGTTTACACTATCGTTAAAAAACATTTTGTATAGTTTAATGTCGCAATAAGGAGGACAAGCTGAATGGACATTGGATAACTTTATTGAATTATGCTGGACATTGTTAAATAATAAAGTTATCCACTGTCACTTCAGCTTGTCCTCCTTATTGCGATATTAAAATTGTCTCCTCGCCGAATATTTATATAGTTTTAATAATGGTTATGTTTTGGTACTTTGATCTTTGACAATTTGGGCATACTTGCCACCCCTGGTTTGACTTTAGGGTCTTTTCCACAGAAATAGTTCCCACATTTTTTTATCATTACTCTTGACATATTATTTTACTTTAAATTCACCATGGACAGTGTATCTGTTCTGTTCTTCTTATGGTTAAACACACACAAATTGGCATCATCCGAACAGCTTATCAGCCCACTACTATTCGTGATGGTATATGTTCTTGCAGTAATTTAACGCTTGTTACGTGAGTCTAGCATTAACTTTCCCTTGGAAATATGTTCACGTAAGACTAAGAGGTGCTTGGGACCGAACACTTGCAGTTACAGCTCCTCAAACAGGTGAGGGGATAGGCCGAAAATCCGATGAACACAATTACCATAAGTGTCGTAACCCTCATGCATGTCAGGCCATGTTACACGTCCTACTTGACTGCGGGGGCTACGGCAAGGTTGGAGTGCTAGCCTCCAAGCTGAGGCCGTGCCCTCTGTTTCTTAATCATCCCCGCCCACCCTCTGTTTCTCAGCCATTGTGTTACCGCTGTTTTGTAGACCACCTTGCCACGCCTGCATGCACGGGACAATGCCGGATTTTATAAAAAAAATCTAGTCAAGCCCTACTCTAAAACTACCTGTAAATAAATACCATTATGGTCAAGCCACAACACCATGGAGTGACAGGCTAAAGCAGCAGAGACAACAGCATAGAACAAAACGAGAGCCTGCATGGTTGCCGGAGATGGAGACAGACAGACAGACAGACAGATAAAGAGTCGGAAAGAGATTTAGCATACCCATAGATAAACACGTCAAACAAATAGTTGCGAGAGAGAGTGTGTGTGTGTTTGTGACGAAGAGCGCTAGGGAAAGACAAAGGAAAAGAGGGAGAGAAAGGCAGATAAAGGGAGAGACCAGTGTGTGTATGTGTAACAGAGAGAGAAAAAAAGAAGAGAGCAAGAAAGAGCAGGCAAATCAACCCGTCGACCATGCACTAGACCATCCACACGGAGAGGTACACGCCATGTGGAATACGCCCATGAGGTACAACAATGTCACCATATCCACCGGCACAGCTAAGGTATGGCTTCTGCTCCTCCAGCATTGCCGGGTCGTGATGCAGGTTGTGTGTTGGGAATAGTTGTCCTGGCCTTGCAGACATGTCGTGCTGCACGTATCTTGACTCTTTGGAGCACACTTTGATTTGTTCGTTGCCATTACGGCGGCATATGTTCACTCCATGGTGTAGCGTGCATGGATGTAGAGGTTCCTCTGCTGGTGGATGCCTGCCATCGCCGCTGCTACCAGTGCCGCTGTGGCCGAAATGAACGTGAATTGAGACACTCAGGGTTGGGTGGGCGGTGATCGTGAAATGTATTCCACTGCTGTTGAGACCGTGTTGACCGGTTGATTTGGCTAGCGGGTCTCTCCTGCAGAATCGCAATCAAACATAAACAAACAAAGAACGCCAAGTGCTGGACACACACGGTGTAGCCCGGGCCGCAAGGGCAGTTCAATGCAAGTAAATGTACACTGGAAGCTGTGTCAGGCAATCACTCCAGGAAGCAGAAAAAGGTCAGTCCCTTCTCGGCAGGTGTTCCTTCTGGACAAGTTCCTGTGTACGTTGAAATACTGCGGTACCACGTAATGAACTACGGGGGGATTTCAAGATCCGGGTGGATACTTCCCGTGCTGTCATTTCAGAACCACGGTGTGTTTTGGGGAAACAACCACAACTCAAACTTAATTGCACTGCGTTTCACTCTTCAAAACCATTCATTCACCGCCTTGACCCTGGAAAGTCAAAGTGAGTACAAGCACGACTAGCCTGAAGCAAAGCCCCCCCCCCCCCTCTCCTTGCGTTCTCCGGTGCCCGACGGCATTACTGTTCTACGGCTATTTGCCACTCACCAGTATGCCGCAACCAATCCAGGCCTGTCGTCGTTGGTTACCACCTGTACTGGAAAAGGTGAAGTGGCGGTGGGGTTGTACACGTGTAGCTCCAGCACGTCAGTGCACGGTTTATTGGAGAATGGCTGGTGTGATGCCATCGCTGCCGGTCTCAACGGGAACAGAGAGCCTGGGAATTGAAGGAGAAACAGGTGAATTCCAATGCACCGACATACAGCCAGACGCAGACAGACATGAAATTGATTGCATGATGAGGTGTCCATGCATATTCGCTGACTACAGTTCATGTGTCAACCCTGATGATGGGCCCCAGGCCGAAATGATTGTGGTGCAAACACACTTCCATCACAAATCACATTGCGTTCTTCAGTCTTGACCCGTCCGACGTGCATACACCGACCACTGTGTAACGTTATAGAGGACACTTCCGATGACAATATTGATAAAATTCATCTTGCAGCCCTTTGGACAGCTCCGCAAGTTCCTGAAATACTAATTTGCCGAGAACTCCCCCACAGAATGCCATGTGCTCACACGTGTATGTTACGGGGGGGGGGGGGGGCACCTACTGTGCAAAGAGTACTCAAAATGCCGTGGAGGCAGAGCATAGAGCAGTGGACTGAAAGCCACAGAGCCTTTCTGTCCATTGTTTGACTGTGCGTGTTACAAGTGCGTATTTCACAAGATGCGACAGCGTTCTTCACCTGTGCGATGGAAAACCGTGAAGACGTCCAGGCTGACGTTGTGAAACTCGGCCGTGTCGCCGGCACGATAGGTCAGTGAGCGGTTCCACCACGCCACGTATGTATCCTTTTCATCCACACCGCCGCCACCACCACCATCGCCACCATTGCTCTTGGTTGAGATCTGGGGGAAGGTGACGCTGACTTGAGCAGGGTCTGAGGTGATCGGAGCAACCAGTATGTCGGGACCCAGCATATAGTTGTATGTGGGTGGGTTGAACTCGTCGATAAGCTGTCACAGAGAATACAGAACACAGGAAAGGGCTGGTTTAGTGTCAATCCAGCCAGAAAAAGAATTTGAACAAAGGAAAGGGTTGAAACCCCAAGAGTGTGCAATCCCCGTCTGTGGGGTCTGCAATGGCAGAACTTCACATCACGTGACAAACCCACATGCATGTGTTGTATGCAGCCCTGCTAGGGGTACATGTGTAACTCTCTTGTGGTCACTTTTTACTGTTTGCCGGCGTAACCTATTGAATCCAATCATGTCAAGTGATGTGAAGTTTTTGCCTCCGCACCACTGGATGGAGATTAAACAGGTGTTTGCACACTCTTGGGCTTATGCACTCTTGGTGTTACGCTATTAACCTGGTATTTATGGCGTTTTGGTTTGAAAATCTGCGTGATATATTAAAAAGTTAATAAAACCATATGAATTACGCTCGTATGTTTGGCCTTTAACTACAACACACAGCAGCTTGCGGTTAGGAGGGTGCTGGCCAGCGAAGTGAGAGGCTACAGAGAGAGCAGGATCTTGGCGGAGCCAAGAGAATAGTCACGTCCAAGGGACGAAGACCGAGAGCCCTGAGTAGCCGGAAATGAGCATGGCCAACACCCCTTTATTTACTTTATCAAAGTAAATGAGAGATGAGAAATGGGAGGTGGGTGGGTGAAACACAATGAACTGACAAGAGTGATCCGCACACAGAACGAATCGAAATATATAACACTACGAGCAAGGAAGAATGATCGTCGCACAGAACGGATCGAAAATATATAGCAGAGCAAACTCTAGCAAGACATGCAACGATGCATGCCACCCACGTTGAGTTACAAGCAAGCGCCATCATAACACCGCCAAACCCACCCACGTTAAGTTACGAGCAAGCGTCATCATAACGCCGCTACACGCCTTCCACATCGGAGGCGAGCAACACGCATGAATGCCAAACTTTAGTATGACACGTTGAGTGCCTACGACGCATGCCGCCTACGTTGAGCGTCGCGCATGAATGAATGTCGCGTTGAGTGTCACGTTGTATGACACATAGAATGCCACGATGCATAGAGTACCATGTGAGCACGTACAGCGCACGTTCATAGCAGCATAGTTTGAGTGGTAGCACGAAGCAGCCGCGTGCACCCATTAATCTGCATTATTACTATAATGCTACATTAACTACAACACACAGCAGCTTGCGGTTAGGAGGGTGCTGGCCAGCGAAGTGAGAGGCTACAGAGAGAGCAGGATCTTGGCGGAGCCAAGAGGATAGTCACGTCCAAGGGACGAAGACCGAGAGCCCTGAGTAGCCGGAAATGAGCATGGCCAACACCCCTTTATTTACTTTATCAAAGTAAATGAGAGATGAGAAATGGGAGGTGGGTGGGTGAAACACAATGAACTGACAAGAGTGATCCGCACACAGAACGAATCGAAATATATAACACTACGAGCAAGGAAGAATGATCGTCGCACAGAACGGATCGAAAATATATAGCAGAGCAAACTCTAGCAAGACATGCAACGATGCATGCCACCCACGTTGAGTTACAAGCAAGCGCCATCATAACACCGCCAAACCCACGCACGTTAAGCTACGAGCAAGCGTCATCGTAACGCCGCCACACGCCTTCCACATCGGAGGCGAGCGACACGCATGAACGCCAAACTTTAGTATGACACGTTGAGTGCCTACGACGCATGCCGCCTACGTTGAGCGTCGCGCATGAATGAATGTCGCGTTGAGTGTCACGTTGTATGACACATAGAATGCCACGATGCATAGAGTACCATGTGAGCACGTACAGCGCACGTTTCATAGCAGCATAGTTTGAGTGGTAGCACGAAGCAGCCGCGTGCACCCATTAATCTGCATTATTACTATAATGCTACAGTAACCCACACACACGCACGCATGCACACACACAACAACAACAACAACAACAACAACAACAACAACAACAACGACGGCGACGACGACAACAACAACAACAACAACAACAACAACAACAACAACAACAACAACAACAAAGTGATAATAAAGAATTCAAACAACAACAACAACACCATTATACAGGTCCTCCCTCGTTATAACGAGTCCGGTTAGTACATAAACCCCGTTAGTAAATAGAAATCTTAAATCCCCTGGCGAAACGTGGTCTATACAACTGTTTACAGGTCCGGCTACAACATAATTTGTTAGTACATAAAATTCGTTATAACGACCCTTTGCTCAGGTCCCTGGAGTGCCAAACCCTCAGTATAAGATAATGTTGACCATGCAGGACCAAGACCAAAACACGTAGGAAAACGCAGAAAGACGCAACGTATTATATCTATGTATTCGTAGATATGGACGATCTTTTGCATCCAAGGAAGAGCTATGTTGGAGATTTTCAATTATCTTATAACGAGTTGAAGCTTCGATAATTTATGTTGTATCGAGGGTAGCCCAGGTAAGTACGAATAAGTGCCTATTTCACCTTAGCTGCAAGTCCTGTTACAAGATAAGTCACGTCAGGGATGAATTTATCCGGTATCGCATCGCAGTTTGCTACGCAAAATCGATCTACTGCTTCTCAAAAAATGACAGTGACACGCAGAAAACTGCGATACATACATGTACATGTACAGGCTATTCATGCTTTTTGTAGCTTACGAGATTTTGCATAGGAAAAACTGCTATGCAAGAACATGGCAGTAAATTCATCCCTGCACGTTATAAGATAACTGTTTTGATGGCCCAGAGATTATCTACTAACGAGGGAGGACCTGTAGCTTTTCTTCTTCTTTTTTTAGTATGTTCACATTCCCAGCTCGAAAATAATAAAGATGTGTACAAAGAAGACAAGGAGGACAGATGTGCATGCACATGCGCACACACGCACACATACACACACACACACACACACACACACACACAAACACACACACACACACACACACACATCCCACTCGTCAGAACTTGCAATTGACCTATCGCTGATCATCTGATACCTTGTCGACGAAATCCTGATGCGGAGCGAGTGGCATTAGCGAGCTCCTGCTGTGATTATACGCTAACGTACCAGTAGTCAGCAGGTACGGTACCAGCTGATAGTGTGTCTCAACCAAACTGAGGTGAGGGGAGATAAAAAAAATGAATACAAAATGTCACTGTTCGCGTGAAGGTGAAGGGAGATAAGTACAGGAACAAACAGCATACCAGCACGGTGATGTGGAAAGACACAGACGTTCGCA